ACCAAAATATTTTTACCGTTACTTGTCAACAAACGGGGCTCGCGCGTGGTCAACTTGTGTTCGGCAGCTGGTTATTTGGTGGCACCAGGCATGTCGTCTTATTGCGCTTCAAAATATGCTCTCGAATCATTTTCTGATTGTCTTCGTCGTGAAATGCTTCCATGGGGCTTACGTGTGAGCATCATCGAGCCAAGTTACATGCGAACACCTATCATCGAAGGACATGTGCAAAGAATGCGCGACATTTGGAGTGGACTCTCGGCCGACATCAAAGATCGATGGGATGAAGGATTTCTCGAGGATTTAATGAAAAAGAGATTGAACAATGTATTCATTCGATATGCTGAAAATCCCATTAAAGTGGTTCATGCAGTTCGACATGCCGTTAGTAATACAGTTCCGCATATTCGCTATCGACCGGGTTGGCAATCGAGTCTCTTATTCTTCCCACTTTCCATGGGTCCCGCTTGGCTGGCCGATCTGTTCATAGACAAAAGCAGGGGTCCAAGTGTTCTACCCGCCGGCGTACGCACACAAATAAAGGAGTAAATACAACTGATTGCAGAATAAACATAATATATCTTTAGATGAACTTCTTCTTCCAAGTACTTATCAGTAACTTAGCTAAGGTCTTGATTTTCCCAATTCTGAAAAAGGTGAGACGATATAGAATACAGAGAATTGTGAATGACACGCATATTGCTATATGCGTGTGTAAAAACTCATGAACAACCCATAGTATTGTTTCCAACGAAAAGGAGTTATGAAAAACACCTTTATGATTACAGAATAATCAATTTGCATGGAAAACACTTTGGGCTATCTAGTCACCATGTTGAAGTTAAAAACCCACCGCAGAAACTTCACCGCTTTTCATCCGTCAGATACACCGCCTGAAAAAACAAGATTTTAAGCATTAAATATATGTGAAGATAGAGTAAAGCCTTCTCTACAAAATGCTTGCAAACCCGAACTTTCTATCTCTTTTCGTTCTCGAGTTACTCAAAAAACATCCATGGTCGCTCTGTTGAGAAATCCATAGTACAAACGCCATTTACCTAAAACCGAGTACAAATAGCTACTTATCGGTAACATTTTGAAAAGACAAATACAGGAATTTATAGCGCTTGGAAATCTCTGTCGAATGGTGTATTACGTTATCGTTTCCAAT